ACACTAACAAGTCTGGTAAAAATCTGATATTGCATGATAGGATACTGTTTACGGTCATGATATGGTATTCTCTAAATCGAATACGTGCAGTTACATTTATAATTATTAATACATTTAACAAAATAAACATTTTTAAAGATTTATAAAATAGAATTACTGTTGAGTGTGTAAGCCGGCATGTTGAAATTACGTCACAGGGGCAACTCTGACAACAAAATCTTGTCCAACATCAACGTCATAAAAGAGGCGTGTTTCCGACGGGAAGTGACGTTTTTCGTGACGTTTTCATCCGAGTTCAGACTTGGAGAGAAATAATCGAACGCACCATTGGTCAGTAAAACGTGTCAATTAAACTGCCCTGTAACAAATTTATCGCCCCCAGGTGGTGGAGGACTGTTATATCATCTTGAAGGAGTATGGATTCCGGTTTGTGCGCCGAGGGCCCATCTATGTGAAAGGGAAAGGAGAGCTCCTGACCTTCTTCCTGAAGGGCAGAGATAAACAAGGTTCTTTCATCAACAGCTCCTCTGTTACCCTCCCTCACCAAGTGGTAGACAGCTCCTGACACATATACCGTCTCTGTTTTACAGACAGACAGACAGACAGACAGGCAGACAAACATACACACTCTCACTGGTGTCCACATACGTTTTGGCATATGGTCACAAGCACACAGATACTGCTACATAAAAGGTTAAACTCTCATAATCATTTAAACATCTTAATACTGAAGATTATGGTAGATGAATATTTAGTTATATAATTCTTAAAAGATACTTCCACATGACAGAAAAGAAAGCATTATTTTAGTGTTCTCTATATTTCCTATACCCTGAGAAGAGATGATGAAGTCTGACAAATTTGTCTCTGACCCCTTTCCTGTGCCCGTTTCTGAGTACACCGGTAAGGACTTGTGCGTGGATGTGTGGGGTGGTGATGGTGAGTGTGTGTGTGTGTGTGTGTGTGTGTTGGACATCTCAGCACGTGAAGGCTGCATTCTGACGCAGACAGTACTCTTTTTTGCGCTGTGTCTTTCCTGCCAGACTGGATGAAAGTGCAATAGTCTTCTTCCACTGCCCTGTCCCCCCCCCCAGCTTCTTTTGTAAACTATAAAAGCACACATATTTTTATACTCTGGTTGCAACACACATTTTGTGGAAAAATAAAGGAGGTATGAAAGACCGATACATTGAGGATACGTAGATATATATAGTTTTTATGTAAAATTCATTTAGCAGATTTCAGGGATGGCCGAGAAATCATGACTGTAGATAAGATAAAAGAAAAAGTTTATCTTGAATCACCACAGGAAAATAGGAATGTGGTTTGATCTCCAGATGGTGGAGTTACTGACTGGGATTCTGTAAAGAGGGCTTGGACCATGAGACCAAATTCCTGAGGGCCCAAAGAGATGTTACATGTAATGTTGCCCTAAATACTTCAAGCACATTTTTATTTTATTGTTCTTTGCCTTCATTTCTTAGCTTTTATAGTAATTAGTTTGATCCCTCAGTACAGAATCCCCAGAGTGAAATTGGGAAGGATATGTATGAATAGGACATCCGACAGACTTATGTTTTTTGAAACTCTTAAACTCAGGTGTGAGAACTGTGAATGGCTCTTGAATTATTTGTAATTTAAATGTATTGATTAAAAATCTCAATGTAATGTTTATGACTCCCACTATGTGTGAATTTTTTACTAAACTGTGAAGGAAACTTTCCTCTTTGCACACTGCAGCCTCCATTGTAGAAAGGTAGAAGGTCTATGGCTTGGCAAGTTAGGACACTGTACCTGTGATCGGAAGGTTGCTGGTTCTAATCCCAGGGTCAGCAGAGTGATGTCACTGTTGGGCCCTTGAGCAAGGCCCTTAACTCCCAGTTACTCCAAGGACTGTCTGACTCTGCTTTCAGTTGTATATCCCTTTGGATGAGTGTCTGCAAAGTAAATAAATTGTAAAAATGTCAGAAATATCGAGCCCAGGGAGCTTAAAATCCTAGGAATGTGTAACACCGAGTGGTCATTTGCTGCTCATCCATTAACTGTTCCCGGATTATATTGTAATGGAAATGTTCATTGTCATAATGGAATTGTTTGCATCTCAAAGACCAGAAGTCACTAAATAGCGCCATCTACCTTGTGTGAAAGGTAGCTCTGCTTCCTGGTCACATCTTTGTGTCTCCTCCATTTCTAACTTTAGCCAAAAGAAGAAAATGAAGTTTGAGGAAGTGGCCAGAGGTACACACTCACAGACACGTTCAGCAGGCTAAATTCAGGTTAGACAGACCTGAAGTGAATCAGATGGAGTGTAGTCCTGGCTGCTATTTGGTGGCTTTCAGTGAAGTACCATCTGCCTAAGTTCTCTAAGAATATATTTATTCTGTATGACATGCATCATTATTGTATTTTTAGATATGATGTTCTGCTGAATTCTTTAGTTCTAGATAAAATAGTGAACACATGTAAAAATATTTATATTATCCTCCAATATGAGTATTTTTTTTTAAACAGAACTTGTAATTAAATAGAAATTATACAATGAAATATGACACTGTAATGAACTCTAGAATGTCACTCCAGATTAATAAGATGAAACAAACATAAGGGCTGGAAACAAGAAAAAGGACTGGTAGATAGAGCAGGAAAGCTGAAGATGCCCCTTTTGATGTCCATTAAAAACACCCACCTAAACTTAAGAAGAAGTGAGGAAGTGGAATTTAAATACCATAAATGGAAAAGTCATATTCTGGGCTATATCAATTAAATGTGTGAGGAGGAATTTCAAATAACAAATAGGTTAACACCTAACTGTAACAGACATTAGTAAGATATACAACACAGTAAGGGGGGGTTAGGTGAAGATTCATTATTTGATTTTTATTTTAGATACAGGCTTGGGTAACTACAACAACAGAAATGTTCTTTTTTAGAGTTGTCACAAAGTTGGTCGGAATACCCTTCCAATACTGCATTAACTGTTTATTCATGCGCATTATTCCATTTAAAACCATTTATTTGTTCATGCCACAAAGTCACAGATATTACTTTCATCCCCTGTTTTTAAGCAGCTACTCTAGGGTGAGATAGTGGGATTTTATGACATTTGGTTACAGGTTTAAGCTACACATCTAATGCAGTACTTATCAATAATATCCACCTGAACACAAGAATAAAAAATAACGCAGGACGTTGACAGAAAGTTATAAAAACCAAATTCAATGAACTCATCCATATTTGAAATCAATATGCAAAGTATGTTTACATGCGCCACCTATGGATTATGTAAAGCCAACCGGAAGTGGGCAGCGCAGGCATTTCCGGTGACGTAAACGCGTCTGGACTCCATTAGCGGGCTGCAGCTGTTTTAGAAGAAACAACAACAAAAACGAAGTGGCGTCGCGTTTTCAGCCGGGCTGAGGGCTTTCAATCCCGGGACCTGACACCCCCTTTCCAAGCCCCGGGCATCATCGGCTTCTAACCACGGCCGCTCTCGGCGAGGAAACTCTGGCCTCCGCTTCCTCCTCCTCCGACTCGGACACCGGCGGAGCGTCGCCGCCCCCGCGGAAGAAGCACCGAGCCTCGGCGGCGGAGGGAGCAGGAGAGCCCGGGGCTGCGACGGGGACAGCGGGCCTTTCTGCAGTTGTACTGGGACTTGCGACTCCTTCGGCGGCCGCTGCCATCCACGTTAACAGAAGCGCCGTTGGTAGCCTTAGCGGTAATATGATGCAGGCGAACGGGGCTGGACAGGGGCAGGACCCGGAGCTCCCCTGCTTGAGCAGCGCCCAGAACGGCGGGTCGCACTCCAACGGGCTCATTCCCAGCACCGGTACCGGGGGCACCGTTGGCACCAACAATGGGGCCCTGGCCGGAGCGCCTTCCGGGGCCGCCGCCGCCTCCAGCGCCTCGGTCTCCGGCACGGAGGTCGGATCTTCTACGAAAAAGAAGAAGCGGCTCTCCCAGTCGGAGGAGGATGTCATCCGGCTGATCGGACAGCACCTCCACGGACTGGGGCTCAAGTAAGTTTGTGAGGGAGACACACCGCGAAGTAGCCCGAGGATGGCTAGCTTCGGACCGGCTAGGTCCGCTGACAGGCCTAGCGGACACAAGGGCATGGGGAACAGGTCCCCGGGAGACAGAGCCACTCGACACCCGCCGCCACTGCTCTCCCGCAGGCCGCAGAGGGCTTATTAAAGAGCCTGTCGCGAATCGATTTTCACGGGCGGCAGTGAGCAGATAATCGGACTGATTTCCAGTGGTCACCCATGACCGCTTTCTCTGCGTTTGTGTGTGTGTTTTGACAACCAGGGGTCTCTCCCGTATCGGAGGGCCCACAGCACAGGGGGTTCGACTATCGTCCCCCGAGCCGGGGCGCACAAACAGTGCGGTGGCAGTCCTGCTCAGCCTTCGCCTTTCGCTTTAACAACATCCTCCCGGAGGCCACATCGCGATTAACGAGCAGGCCTGAAGGTACAACAGACTACCCCCGATCATGGCGGCTGAACGAGTAGCTGCTTGCATTACAAATGTTGGCGTAGTTATGGCTGCCCTGGACGGCGATAAGGCGCCCGGCACCGAGTTCGGAGAGGGTTCTTGTTGAAGGGGTCACTGAAAACCCCCTGCGTCACTTCAGCCCTTTGCGATGATGTCATTGTGCTGGGATTCCCCCCCTCCCCCAGTTAACGGTGCACCAACTGTCAGGCTAAGCTGTTGCACGTTAAGAGAGGGTGTGGTGCTATTTCAAACCTTTCCTTTTTTAATGTTTGCAGTCAGACTGTGGACCTGTTGATGCAGGAGTCAGGATGCAGACTGGAGCATCCCGCAGCCACCAAGTTCCGGAACCACGTGATGGATGGCGAGTGGGATAAGGTGGGAATGGACTCCCTGATCAGTGTGTGCAGTCTGAGTTTAATGCCTGGAACATTTTACTGATCAGCTGCTTTTAAAGAAGCCCTGTCTTGTCAGGGGCTCATGGACTATTAATAAAATGGTGGATCTCCATCGTTTTGGTTACTGCACTGACACACATTACCACTTGGACGATTGATACAGCAGCGTATGGTAAAGTAATAAACAGCTGAGTTTTATTTTAGCTGTTTAGGTAAAGATGCCCAAGGATGACGCTTTCTGTGGTCGGGCCAGAGCCCTTAAGATGGCAGCCTGGGGTGGAGCCGTCAAAAGCCACCGTGCCCATGTAAAGAGGTGCCTTTAAGAGGGTCTCTTAGGTTTATCTTAGTGACATAGCATGGTTTAAAAAGCTCATTGTTGTTCTGATGTGGTGAAACTGTGATCCTGTTAAAGAAACAGCTTAACATTTAATATATGTGAATTTAAACATGATTTAAAAACTACCAGACTATTAGTTGGAGTCTGCTTTACAGAAAGTCGATACCACTAAAACGTTTAAACCCCCCCACATACTTTTCAGTTGGCTGTAATGACCAAGCTGGGTAGAGCGGCATGTAGAGCTTGACAGTCACCAGCTTGCAGAGGGCGAAGCTCTTGATACACAACATCTCTCTGTGTCCTGATAGTCTCTGGGAATGGTGTGGACTTTACTGAAAGACATTTTCACTCAATAAAAGATTTTGATTCTGCGAGCCTACGAGCTAAGTATTTCATATTACAAAATTCATTCCGGAAAACATTTTACACACAGTTGTTGCTATATAACTGAACATGTAGTTGGGTGTGTTAGCTGCAGGCTCATGGTAGCTGGCCCGGTTACTTGCTACATGGACTCACAGGACAATATTGTTCAGCTGTCCTGAGGTTTTTATTCTGCTGTCATCAGTGCCACACCTGCAGGGCACGGCCACTCTAGAAGGGCTGCAAATCGGTCACACAACCTCCTCTAGTTCCTCGGTCCTGGTGCAGTATGCTGGCTGCCTCTGTCACGCCCCCTCATATTTACAGGTGTCAGAATAACCCAGATGTCCAATCAGAGCATTGAAACATGACGAGTGGCTCATCTAGGACCATACTCTATAGCTTTCTTCTTTTTTTTTTGGACTGCATGGCTACCGGCAGGGGTGCCATTCGAGATTTTGGGCCCAATGAAAGCATGTCGTTTTGGGCCCCCAACCCTATTGTGTTCCAAGTTTTTCACTCCCCAATCCCCCCCCTAAACGGAATGACAGAAACTCCAAAAATGAGGTCTAGCTACACCTGCAGCTGCCCTATGTCTAAATTTGACTGGAGCACCATGGATGGTGACTGCGTTAGGGGAGGCCTTCCTGGGAGGTCGAAGAAGCCATGCAATGCAGGTCTGTCGTTAGAGTGAATTTCACTGAAGTGCTTCAGGCATTCCTCAGCAGATGAGGGGAGTGTGGGAAAGGGAAGTCCTTAGTCACCCCCATATCCATGTGAACCGGCACAGTATGTGATGAATACTTCTGGAAGCTGTAAAGTTTGTGTGGGCTCCACTCTTTAAAGACCCAGGAGACTATTTCATCTATATTAAGAACTTTAAATAAGACGGAATAAAGCTTCAAGTGGGGGGGGGGGGATGGATCAGTATGTATCATATGGCATTGTCCATATTAAAGTGTTTATAAAATTTCTCTTGCTATTAAGTTACTTTCTCAAAATTGTCTGCCAAATCAGATGTGTGTGTAGATAGTCAACAGTGGCTAGTGCTGCAGACATTTAAGCAGTCTCGCTTTGTATATGAAAGAATATTTCATAAGAATAATTGGATTAACAATCACTAGAGTACAAGCAAAAGCATAAGTCTCGCACTGTTCAAATAGGGCCCACATGCACATTTACCACGGTCAAGGCATTGTGAGTGAAGGTAAACAATTTGCTCGGGGCAGATACCAAGCCTGAGTGGATTACATCATCTCTGAGATGATACAGAAAGAACTTTCCCATAGACTCAGGCCTGGCATAGCACCTGGTCTGATGATAAGCCGATCCTCCAGACCTCAGGAAAGGGAGGAAGGTTTGCCATGACAAGGAAGGAAAGTGGCCCAACATGGCCTTGGGTCTAGACACTACTGGGAAAGCCCATTCACGACACTGCGCTCAAGGCCTGTAGCCCCACAGCAGTGACACGTGCAAGCTGTGCTGCTTTCTAGGCCTTCACAAATTCCCTGCACACTAGGAAAAGCCTGACGTGCAGACCCTGTGTGTTCACCCATATCCGCTGAACTCTGGCTGTTTTTCACAAGCTGACAGAAGTTTCATGTTCCATGCAGTGTGTTTGTCATGCCCTTGTGTGTGCTTGTGTGTTTGCACTTCTGTGTGTTTTTAAAATACACGGCTGGAAAAACACAGCCTCTGTCAATACTCTGAAATCAATTGTGGCCGGCCAGGCTGCGTGTACTCTGAGCGGCCGGCTGGAAACACTGACCTGCCTCTACTCCCGTTCTGTGCGCAGGCCGAGCACGACCTGAGTGAGCTCAAGGCGCTGATGCTTTCACCCAACGCCATCGTGGTAAGTCGGGAATCCTCCGGACAGCCCAAACGCCGGTTCTGCTGGCTTTTAGCGGGACGGGTCAGTGTTACACTTGCTTCATATGGCCCGGAATGTCTATTAGACTGTTAACCCATCCCTGATGCAGGGACTGCAGCCGTAAGATAAAGAGAGACCTATTCACTAGCGCATATATCAGCTGAAGCCATGAATCTCATTTTCCTCCCCTTTAAGGTGGTGTGTGGCTGATTAAAAGTCATGTGGTATGGGCCGTGCTGGTACGTGGAGCTTTGTGACAGCGGGTGGGCCGCAGTGACAGGCAGCAGGGTGGGGTTGAGGTGTGCCCACTAGAGGGCGCCCCAGGAGTCCGTTCCATTTTCATGTCACTTGTGATCAAGCCATTTGATAACCTTTAGGTCAGCTGTTCAAGCCCTGGTGTTAAGACTATTCAGACAATCAATCCTCTAATTAGTAATCTCATTAGGGAGTTATAGCTCCTGTCTGCCCATCACTCAGTTATCCTGCAAGCCCCTTTTATTCGACCTCACTGACTTTTAGCCTTCAGTAGGGCTGCGTATTTTCCCAGGGAAATATATCAAGCTGGATATCCTTGGGTTCAATGACTGGGCCCTTCTGGGACTTCAACCAGCATCCTTCAGGATATATATCCACATTCTTGACATATTTTTGCTTGCGTGTGGCGGCGAGCGCGTCTGCGATGTTGCGGTGGATCCCCGTGTACCGACCTTTACTGGAGTCCATGTTCTGCTCCTCCGCAGCGCATGAAGTTCCTGCTGCTGCAGCAGAAGTACCTGGAGTACCTGGAGGATGGGAAGGTGCTGGAGGCCCTGCAGGTGCTGCGGGGGGAGCTGACGCCACTGAAGTACAACACCGACCGCATCCACGTGCTCAGCGGGTACGTCAGCCCCCCCCCCCCCCCCACTCATGCCTGGCACACCCTGTCTCCCCGGTTACTGCTGCCGTTGCCTAGCACCTCAGAATCAGGAAGTTCTTTATTGGCCAAGTATGTCAAACACACCAGGAATTTGTCTTGGTGGGTGAACCCTAGTATAACATGTATCACATGACATCATTTCAAGGTTAATACACATGAAAATTTTCACATGCTGTGCATTGTGGACTGTCTGCTTACAGTCAGAAGCAGCATGAGATGGAATAAAGAGTAGAACATATAAATGAATAGTAAATATAAGTAGGGGTGATGCTCCAGAATGCAGTCTGTACCCTCTGCCCTGTGACTGTCTGCTCCTATAGTCCGAAAATGTGCAGGTTAGCTGAAAGCACCCATAACATGTGTCTGGGTTCCTTCTGTGGATTGACAATGTGTCCATGGATGCACTTGCATCAGATCAGTGGTTCTCAGTCCTGTTCCTGTCACAACACCGCCCCCCCACTCCGAATGTTTTCATTCTGACCCTACCTTAATCAGGCTCATGTGGTCCTTAATAGTCTAACAATGAATGTAGCAGGTGGGTGGGTGGATGGATGGATTGATTGATTAGCCCCATTAATATGAACTGGTAAAAACACATGGGGATATATTTGTACAAATAGTAGTGCCTGCTTGTGTTTCATTCACACATGTATTAGAATTAAGCCCTGGCCACCTTTCGCCAAGCCTGATTGGGTGTGAAGCGGCCATGCCGTCGTGTGATTGGCCGGAGATCGGTGTTGCTCACGACAACATCATGTTTGCCTTCCTAGGTACCTGATGTGTAGCCACGCGGAGGACCTGCGTGCCAAGGCTGAGTGGGAGGGCAAGGGAGCAACCTCCCGCTGCAAGCTGCTGGACAAGCTGCAGAGTGAGTGCGCGTTGCCGCCTCCTTCTGAGCCTCCACCCGGCTTGTACCCTAATGCAGTGTTTCCCAATCTGGCCCTCGGGACCCACAGTTGGTCCATGTTTTTGCTCCCTCCAAGCTCCCTGCTAGATAGGAGCTGGAAGGGAACAGAAACACTTGGAAATCCACTAATGAATCGGCCCACGGGGCTCTTCGCACTTTTTGATGGCTGCGGAGCTGACCGGCTCCCTCTGGCTAACCTGCCCGTTGGCATTCACCCTTCCCCCGTCTGCCTGGGAGTGCGGTGGTACCATTTGGCCAGACAGTGAGGCCTTTTTAAATCCCTCTTGGGTCTTGTTTTCACTCTGGCCACGTCCATTACATGTGGATCTCAGGACAGGCCTCTGTGATGGACGGTCCAGTGGGTCCATGTCATGACACATCTAGGGCCTGCTGGGGATCCTGATATGTTCTCAGAAGGAGCTCCTGGGATGGCCCGGCTGCCATTAGCGCTGGAGGACACGAGGAACGACCCTCGGCCCTGTCCGAGGCCTCCCTTTGGGGGGAGCACAATTTGAGCACTCTGTGAGCGTGCACGTTCCCCGCTCACCCGTCGGCGCTGTGTGTCGTCACACAGCCTACCTGCCCCCGACCGTGATGCTGCCCCCCCGCAGACTGCAGACTCTGCTGCGACAGGCGGTGGAGCTCCAGCGCGACCGCTGTCTCTACCACAACACCAAGCTGGACAGCAACCTGGACTCCGTATCTCTGCTGCTGGACCACGTCTGCAGTCGGTGCGCCCAGCCGTGCCTCCCCGGCATCCGCCCACCCGCCCAGCCAGCCTGGGGCAGCCCTAGCCCTGCTCACCGCCCTCTCTTCCCTCCACACAGGAAACAGTTCCCCTGCTCCACCCAGCAGATTCTGACAGAGCACTGCAATGAGGTGTGGTTCTGCAAGTTCTCTAACGACGGTACCAAGTTGGCCACAGGATCCAAAGACACCACAGTTATTATATGGCAGGTTGACCCAGTAAGTGCCAGTTTGTGGGTCGGTAAATATTGGTTTTCAGGAATATACAGGTGGTTCAAAAAATCTGTTGGACCCTCAAACTGGGCCGCCTTACAGTTTGTACATTGTTATGTTTTAAATGTGGCTTTAATGATAATCCAGAATATTATGAATGAGGCTGTATCTCTGAGTGCAGTAGTACCCTGGTGTGTGATGCCTATGTCGGTAAACAGGAAACCCACCAGTTGAAGTTGCTGAAGACCCTTGAAGGGCATGCCTATGGTGTCTCCTACCTGGCCTGGAGCCCGGACGATACCTACCTGATCGCCTGTGGTCCGGATGACTGCTCTGAGCTGTGGCTCTGGAACGTACAGGTACGGGAGACATACAGCATGTCATAGTACGACCTTACAGGCACATCTCACTTTTTAACGGCGAGCTCAGCTGGCTAAACAAGGTCCGTCCCTCTTGCCACCCAGACCGGTGAGCTGAGGACAAAGATGAGTCAGTCTCACGAGGACAGCCTAACCAGCGTGGCCTGGAACCCAGATGGCAAGCGCTACGTCACAGGTGGCCAGAGAGGCCAGTTCTACCAGTGTGTAAGTGACGTCTAGCTCAGTCCCCTCCATCCGTCCCTGTAAGAAAGGACTGAGCCCTCCCATTTTTTGGCCGCACGGTAGGATTTGGACGGGAACTTGCTGGACTCGTGGGAGGGTGTCCGTGTCCAGTGTCTCTGGTGTCTCGGAGACGGGAGGACGGTCCTGGCTTCTGACACACACCAGCGTATCCGTGGATACAACTTCGAGGACCTGACAGACAGGAACATGTGAGCAGGCGCCGTGGTCTGATTGGATAGCCGGTTGGCGGTTTTATTTACCGTTGCCCTGGGAGCTGATCGTCACGCTTCTGTATCCACAGCATCCAGGAGGACCATCCCATAATGTCTTTCACCGTTTCAAAGAACGGACGATTAGCTTTGTTAAATGTAGCAACTCAGGTAAGGTGGCGGTGGGTCTGGGAGGTAGGGGGTTGGGGCTGGGGGTCTGAGGGCTGTGCTGCGTGCTGCTCTCACTGCCCCCCTCCACCCCGCCACAGGGAGTTCACCTGTGGGACCTGCAGGACCGCGTCCTGGTCAGAAAGTACCAAGGCGTGACGCAGGGATTCTACACCATCCACTCCTGCTTTGGGGGCCACAATGAAGACTTCATCGCCAGCGGGAGTGAAGGCAGGTTCCTATGGGGCCTTTGTGAGCCGTCTGCTGGGGATTAAGCGGGATGGGGGTGGGTGGGCACGCAATCTGCTTACTGTGGCTTGGATTTGTAGGGAGCGCAGGTCTGGCTCTCTGCCTGGCCCCCTCTCCCGCTCCCATACCGCTCTCTCTGGCCCTCAGAGCAGAACCAGCTTCAAAATCAAAATCCTGCCTTTAGTAAACTCACCTTCACTTCCTGGAATGGATTGTAAGTAGAAATGGATCTAAACGATAACCGTACTTGATAAAATATGAATTATACAAAGGGAATTGGCTAAAATGTTCATGTCTGGCAGATGCATGACAGATGACAGTAATGTGTGTGGAATAATTGGATTAAGGTCCTTTATGACACTTCAGTTGCTGGGCGATGACCTCGGTGGTTCGGTGACATGAGCACGGTCCCTCAGCAGTGGTGCCCGCCGCCCTGTGAAACACGCCCCCCACCTGAGTGAGCCACGCTGATGTGCGATTCGCCAAAAGCCGAATACCGCTGCTTTACAGATAGTCCCAGAGCGTAGCTTTCGGCGCGTTGAGGGGACGCTTTGCTTACGTTTCACATCGTCAGCCAGGATGGGTTCCTGCCCCCAGCCTCCGCCACATGAAATCACTCTATATTAAAAGTTTTCCACCAAGACGACTAGTTCTGGTGTAAGTATTTCTGATGACAGGCCCTACAGTGTGGTGAGCACAAGGCCACAGGCACAGCTCATGTGCGTCACCTGGGGGTGTGTTCACTGTCACGCTGTTAGCCTCAGCTCCATGTGTGTGTCCCCTCCCCAGACCACAAGGTCTACATCTGGCACAAGCGCAGCGAGCTACCCATAGCCGAGCTGAGTGGACACACCCGCACGGTGAACTGTGTGAGCTGGAACCCAGTGCTGCCCGGCCTCATGGCCAGTGCCTCAGATGACGGCACCGTCAGGGTGTGGGGTCCGGACCCCTTCGACACGCAAGACTTGGAGACTTTCAACGGTAAGCGGCCACACCATCCCCTCCTGCGTTCATTTGACACATCTGGGCGTGTGTGTGCATGCACTAGTGGATTAAAGCCTCTGCTTTTTTAGGGCTTTGGAGGATCTACTCCCAGTTTCAGGCAGCAGAGCAACAGACAAGGCCATGAATAATCTCTCTCCCTCTTTCTCCCTCTCTCTCTCCCCCTCTCTAGAAAACTGCAGTAGCATGTATAGTTGATGGTGATTTGGACAGGAAGACTGCTCTAAAATGATACATAACAAAACATGAAAAAGTACGAAAAGAGAGAAAAACGAACCCAGAAAAAAGAGTTGCATTTCTAACCCGGCTCTGGATGTCGGATGAATCCCCGGAGTCCTTTTCAAGCGAATGGGAAATAGCGAGGGCTGAGCGCGGCCCAGCCAGATGCAGCCAGACGCAGCCCTCGCCCAGCTCCGCAGGGCACCACCACGTTTCATTCTCTCATAGCTGTGTGTGGGGGGGGGCGGGGGGCACTGGGTTTTGTGTTTTCTTCTTACTAAGCAGTTAAGTTTAACAACACAGTCCACATGAAAACAAAGAGCAAAGCTTGTTTGTATTTTATAATTCTAGCATTATTATGGTTTTATTTACTGTTTAACAGCATTTGGATACAGTAAGTGTTAGTGTTGGAGTTGCTTTGAAAAGAAGCGATTTATCACCTCAAACACACACACACTCTCACCCTCCTCCCCTGCTCACCCTCTACCGTCACGCCCCCAGACGACGACCTCGGCCCTGCCCTGTCCAAGCCCACCCCCCCCACACCCCATTCTGCCGTTTGTTGCTTTTCACTTGCCTGGTTCTTTATTTGCGGTGGAGTTCAGAGTCGTGGCTGCAGTGTTGCTACTCAGACTGCCCCCGCTAGCCCCTTAGACCTCCATGCTCCTGGCACCGTTCTCACTAGTGACGGATCATGTCGTTCTTTCACCTCACTTTAAGAGGATTTTAAACTACGAGACTTTTAACCGAATCCTAGTTACCTGAAGGCCCCACTTTGTATAGATTTTTTTAAACAAAGGCTTTCTCCCGTTTTTGTTTTCATTCTTCGCCATCCGAGGGGACTCTTTCGTTGCAGATGACAGTTGAGCAGGGTTGCTGGAGTGGGAGGGACTCTGGTTGGGGGGGTGTGGGTAGTGGAGGAACATACATCCTGCATGAACACCAGCCATGTTCTCGCCCTGTGAGCATCTGTGAAAGTGGTGGTTCGACGTCCTCATTGACGGGATCTAAAGAAGCCCGTGGTCATGCATGTCCGTAGGTGGATGCCGCTGAAGTGGGAGGGGCAGTTCTCGTGTGTTTGAATGCAGGCTCCAACCCCCCCCCCCCCCCCCCCCCAATACCCTGCAGCAGTGGTGGCAGTATCGTATACAACTTTCTTTACTTTGTTTTCCATATGTAATGACTATTTGCTATGGACTGATATTAAATGTTTCAAAAGACTGCTTTTCTGTCTGTTTTATGGTTTTTGTTTTTGTTTTTTTTGACTGTTTTTGTTCATTTTTTGTTGGACCTTCTTCCCTTCATTATATTAAAATATAACCTTCCATTGGTTCTCATTCTTATTTTTTTGCATCACCCCCTTTGTGAGTGTATGTGTTTGTGTGTGTGTGTGTGAGAGAGAGAGAGGGAGAGATCTGTACACGTACCCAATAGGACTGTGGGAAAGATGGACTACACAATGTTGTAGAGAAAAAGCCAGAAACACTGTTAGCCCTTTGGGTTGGAGTGGCCTGCCTTTGGATCCCTGTGTGACTGAGGCAACTAGTGGAACCAAGAGTGCAAACACTTAATGCATATCCTACACAAAGAACCCTCGGTACTCGCAGTCACTCTCCTGTCCCCCCTCCTCTGCCCATGGACCTTGAAGGCAGTTCACAATTCAAGAGGGGCAGGAGCTCTCAGCTGATTCCTTACTTTGATGGTCCTTAAACACAACTGTGCTGCAGTGTGCCGGGTCGGATGGTCTGGGATGTGCAAATGGTACCGGCCCGGGTTCCAGGATCTCTTTGCATTAATGTGTTATTCCAAAAGTGATTGTATTGTTTTTTTGTAATGTTGTGTAGGAGAAGTGTTATGTATGCATATTTTCAATAAAGCATTCAGGGTTTTGAAAAAGACCCATGCAGTGTCGCGAGCACCTCAAGAAGGAAAGGACTAGGAGAAAATTAGGTTTAAAGCTGCTCTCCTTTCATCTGAGTTTCTGAGAAAGTCACTATGTAGAGTTGAGAAAACAGTTGGAGAATATGAGGCCTCTGGCCCCAGAACTTAAGCTGACTACTGTGCATTTCTGCTTTATGAAGTGTGAAGTGTAATTCGAGGTTTTATGCTAATGACCCTCAGCTATTGCATACTAGTGCAGAACTAAACTAATGAGAATGTAGCTGTTCCTTGCTGGACAATGTGAAAGGAGCCTCCTGCTCATATGCTTGTCTCACCCACACTACAGGTGGCTTTGGAGGCAGCGTCCAGCTGCTTCTCCAGTTAAATGTAGTGCCTGCAGTTGTGTAGGTCAGTGATCCCCAACCCAATCCTGAGGACCCCCCAGACAGTCCATGTTTTTGCTCCCTTCCAGCACCTGAAGCAAAAATGTGGTGGAGCTGGGAGGGAGCAAAAACATGGACTGCCTGAGGGTCCCGAGGATTGGGTTGGGAAACACTGGTCTAGGTTATGCTGTTGGCTGAAAAGGCTATCCAGTGTTGAGACTGAAATCTGTAAAGCTGCCGCACCTTATTCAACTCAGCACTGCACTGTGTCAACATCATTTGCTTCACATGGGGGTGGTTTCAGCTCATCGGTCTATATGCAATATGCAATATACATAGAATATACAATAACACATAAGCGGGATAACAAGGTGCTGAAGTCAAAGTGGCAGTGGTTAATAAATGACGATTGGGATTGGGATTGTAGGGTGGCAGAGTGGTTAGCACTTGCTGCATACCTCTGGGACCAGTGTTTGGGTCTCCACCATAGTTCCATGTGTGGAGTTTGCATGTTCGCCCCATGTTGTCCTGGGTTTTCCTCTGGGTACTCTGGTTTCCCCCCAATAATATGCTTAGGTGAACTGGAGTTAACACATTGCCCATATGTGTGCGTGTGCCCTGTGATAGGCTGACGTCCCATCCTAGGTCATTCCCTGCCTTGTGTACATAACTTCTGGGATAGGCTCTGGACTCCCGGTGAGCCTGAAAAGAAAAAGTGAGGATATACTGTATAGATGGAGTGGAATTGTGTATTTCACATTTGACATATTACTGCTGGGAATAAATTATTCCTGAGTACAAGAATAATACTCAGACCTAGAGAGCAGGATGATGCATAAGATACATCTCAGGATGATTAGCAAAGCATTTGTGAAGCCACAACACGCACAACCTTGTATAAAATATATAATGTTAGGAAGGCTAACTTCAATTGTATGAGATTAAAACTAGAAACTGTGAACTGGATGGAGTTAA